CTTTATTTCGACTTGCTGTACGACCACCACATCGAGCACATGATCGTAATTGACAATAAAAACATTTATGACCAATGCCATCTGCAAATTTAGTTTTTTGACAAATTTGACAAATGGCATCATCTTGTGTTCCAACAAGACGTTGTGCGATCTCTTTCCGTTGATTGATTTGCTTTTCAATAGCTTCCAATTCTTGATCCGCTTTTCTATAAAACAAAAATACATTTATTTACAATGTTTTTTCTTTTAGTTTTCATTAAACTAAGTTAATTATTTATTTACACTTTCAATATTTATATTTCTTCGTTGAATTAACTGACAAAAAAACTTCTTATCATGCAGATATGATGAACAGTTTCCCACCTTAAAATTATATCTTTAGCTTGGTACATCAAAAATTTCAATTTTGAATGCTTTTTCGTTTAATCAAAATTTTCTCTTCCTCTTTATCTTTTATCTTTTCCTCTTTCTGCACTTCTTCCTCTCTCTCTCTCTCTGTCTCTCTCTCTTTTGCTCTCCATTTTTTTACTGGGACAGAAAAGATTGTTATTCATTATCAAATATTAATTACTGACTAACCATTTGAAAATTCTGTAATATTTTTACACTTATTAATCACTCATAAGGTATGTAAATGATTATATAAATAATTAAAAATTTTCGTCCTTCTATTTAATTCCTTGCAGATGAAAAAATAAGAAGTTTAGCAAATATAAAATTTTAATATTCTTTCTTATGATTAGCAAATGATTTGATGCAATAAGAGCAATTTAAAATGGAAGAAAATAAAATAAAGGAAAAAGTTTTGTTATGGCCTGAAGCGAAAAGTGGAAAAAATCATCTCAATCATTCTTGTCATCTGTCATCAATAGACGATTCCATCCAATATTTCCAATCAAAATAAAAAATTGTTTACTTTTTGATTAATTCATATCAAAAATCTATATTGGAGAATTAGAAATAAAATGTAAGTTAAAGTAATGTTTTATAACACATATATGTATGGAACTCACTGGCTAAGTTGGGTCTCTTTTTCTTCTTCAGCACGTTGCCGTTGAAATACTTCTTCAATAATTTGACGCTCCTCAGCACTTAGATGCGATAAATCAGGCATGGGAAGTTCGGCCATTGCCCTTTGACCCGTTTAACAATTAAAGGCCTGAATAAAACAAGTTTAATAATTGTTACCAAGTGATAACATCAAAAGATCGCGAATATTTTAGCATTAATTTGTAACAATTTGTAAATCTACAAATTAAAAGTAAATATTATTTGATTGAACGTAAATAAAAAATTGTTAACTGAATGCACTGAAAGGAATGCTTAAGATTTGTTTCATGCTTTATGTTGAGGCAACATCATCAAAAATTTGTCTTGTTTCTGAACTATTTCCAATCTATCTGGCCTAGAAAAAGTGAAAAAGCATGGAGTAAGAGAAGAAGAATGTCTGATAATTAGCGGTAGGCTTATCTTTCTCTCTTTTGTCTACAAACGGAATAAGCTGCAAGCTTGTCTTTTTCCTGCAAAAATAGTAATTGGCATCGTTATTTTTTTTTTTGTTATTTTCGTGATGTCATTTATTTAAAAAAGAAAAAGAAAAAATAGTGAACAGTAATAATAAAGAAGTAAATTCTAAAATTGCAATATTGCATGTTATATTCATGAGTGATAATTAACTATCAAAGTAAGATAAAGTCATAATTAAAAATTAAATCCAAATTTGGATGAAGAAGTATAATGTAGAGAGAAGAATATGTATCAGATATCAGTAACAACAACAATGATAACCTTATCATTAAAGAATAGCATTACGTATTGAAAACATTTAATACATCAACATCAGAATATTTATCGTTATCCATTTTATAACTCATATATCAGACATTAAAATGAGTTAATTTTTGTCAATTTTAAAAATCTGACCTGAGTATTTGTTTTTATTATCGCAATATGATGTTAAAATAGTTCGATACAGAGTAACTGGCACTTTTTCTTGGAAAAATATGTATGAATGTTTGGGAAGTTATATGAGATGGCGTTATTTCCGCCGATTGACTTTAAAATAAGGCAATTCAATAACTCCGAATAGTTGAGCCAGTCAGTAGATTGAAGGGATTAGAATGAGAGTTGTGGCATCTCTCATGGAATGCTTTCATATGTATCCAATGTGAATTCTTCAAATATCACTCATCCCATATCGATCAATGTTAGTTTCCAACATTTGTAAAATAGCATTTTTCACAAATTTCAAAAATGTAATAAACGACTACATAAAAATAACATAAATGATATTAGCAATAATATTTTTACGATTATCAATATTTATCACTGTTATTGTTGTGTTTTTGTTGTTTATGCAAAGTTTTAAGACAAACATTTTGTTTGCGTACTGCTTTTTCGGAAGCTCATTGCATTGTTGTTCAGTTGTAATGTAATTAAAGCATATAAATTGCTTATTTTCATATTCTTCTTTGCAATCTACACTGACTGACACAAAATGCTATCAATAAATTTTTTGTTTTTCTTTTTCCAAAAGTCATGAAAATAAAAATTAAAGACAATCAATTAGGTGATAACATGACATTCTAAGGTATGCCAATGGACGACCACTGGGCAGTTGACTGTCCAGTGGTCATCCTACCGTATGCATCAACGATATTGTATACGGCCAAAAATCTTCAAATTATTTTGATCCATTCAAAGTTGTTTTTTTTATTGAGTGTTGAAGGTTTAAATTGGATAAAATCAAATTAAGAAGACATAGTAAAATATAATGCTTTTGATTATATTTTAAAAGAAGAGAAAGAAACAGAAAAACAAAAATTTTAATCGAAATTATTTTTTAAGAAATTAGTTAAATGATTTACTTCTTTTATGCATTTACAAAGTTTGCATTCCAGACCAGAAAAAGTATTTTCAATATGATGAGCGGATATCAAAGAGTCTAAACTCTTACATCTAAATGATTTACTTCTATGCTAAGATTATAGATCGTTCATTATAATCAGATGTTTATGATTACTGTGATTTGATTTGAATTTTGGATGCTTGCTTTCTTCGTTTTTACTCTATCGCTTGGTTTAAATGTTCACAAAAAAATAGCCAAACCTCTATTGTTTTATTGTGAATGCTTTGGAATAAAATAAAAGGTAAGAATTAAATATAAAACCAAAAGTCGATTTATTTGAAAATATAATCAGTACTCAAAATATGTGAAATCTATCATCGCAATAAAATTCTCTCTATACTGTTGATAATTCTAATAGACAGTATTATTTTCATTAGTATTATCCTATTACTTATTGACCAACACTATTTGGTAAATAAGATGCATGCTACACCTATTTCGTTCATTTATCTTCTTAAACGTTAACAAATACAAAACGGTACTTCTTTTATTTTGATTAAATGCAAAAAAAGCAAAATAAAATTTCAGATATAAATTATTTAACTTGAACGTTTCCGAATAGGAAATATTTCAATAGAAGCATTACTTCCTTAATTATTTTCCTATCTTTATGAAATTATGATAAACTTTTAAAAAAAGATAAAAGTTATCAATACTTGGCATAAAATTCTAATTCAAATGCATTTACTCTTTTTGATTTCAACGAAATTTTTAAACGCAATCAAATTTACGTCCAAAGGTTGTGAAGTCAAGCCGTTAATGAATATTATGTATAGAGAATTTTAAAAAAATACCAATAAAGTTATTTATTCATCTGAACAATAATTTTAATTCTTTCAGCGAAATGTGGTTAATATTTACAGTAATTGCATGACATGTGATACAAAAGATATGAAATATCGAAATATGATAAAATAAATAAGCTTTAAATAAACTTAAAAAACATGGCCTTATATTGATTAGCTTAACATCGGACAATTCAAATCATTGGCATTCAAATCAACCAGATAATCAGTCATTTAATAAAAATATTGTAAGTTTTGTTTCCATAATATCAACCTCACCTGAATTGATATCATACATTTTATAATTTAAGTAGCAATTATAATATTGTGCAGAAATAAACCTTTATGATATTAGTTGTCTTAGAAAAAAATGATGGTAATGGAAATAGCGCAAAAATGGTAGCTATAAAATACGTAAAATATAACATGCGTCACGTGTACTTCATGAAACGATGAACTTTATGCGTGTCATTTAATAAGAAGTATTAATCAATCAAAAATCAATGAACACTTTTATCATCAGCCACGAATGAAATTTAAATAAAAATGATACGTATTTCTTATTTTCATATTGTTGCACTCATGAATTTGATATATCATAAGCAAATAATATTTTCCAATTACTTACTTTTTTTTTGTTTTATTTTCTAACGGGTAGCATACAGATGGTTACATGTTTTAAGTCAGATAAATAAAGAATGAAATATTGAAAATTTGTTGTTATATGTAACTAAAAAGCCGATAATACATATTTGTATATCAGATATTTTTATAGCTGTTGTTTAATTTCAAATTTTTTACTCTCTTTTTAAAAGATTGCACACTTGAAATTTCAATCCTTTTTAATAGTTGATCTAAAAAGTGACTGATTTGAAAATAGCAAATTTTTGATAAGTAAACAGTTGATTAAATTTCGTCAAATAATAGAAGGTTAATTTCTAAATTATTAACTTAAGAGAGGAACAGCCTTCAAATGTTCTGCAAAAATAATATTATATGAAGCGATATAAACTAATCTGAAAATAATGAATAGAAATTTTTGCGTTAGCAAATTATCAATAACATCAATTCGAAAAAAAAGCTCTCTTACACCTGTTTAACCGTTAAATGAAATCGTAAGAAATAGATTTTTTTTTCATTCTAAAATATATATTGGAATGGATATCGTATCGAAGACTGTCACAGGTAACAAAATATATTCTCGTTTCAAAGTACAATTCAGGTAAGAGATATGCTGCAATTTGAATGAAATATTTTAAGCCAAAAAAATTGTTTAGAAGCGAATATGAATTATTATATAAATCTTAAGCTTTCTTATAGTACATTTTCGTTTTACTCATAAAAAAAGAATTCAATTAAAAAAATTAAAAATGATAAATTTCATTTTTTTTGACAAAAAGGCACTATATTCTCAAATCTGATAAAAATTCAAAAAAGTAATTCTATCACTATTACTTAATTCCCATTACTACTAGTAATTCATTTACTATAATTAATTATTTTCATTAAATTTCTTTACTGTTGTTTAAATCAGGAAAAACTAAGCTGTATTATATGCTAAGAACGATACAAATGTAAAAGAAGATAAAATAAATGAACCAAGAAATATTTAGCATACTGCGATGTTGATGCAAATAATATTAACTTGTTTGAGCTAAGCTATACTTTCGATATATCAGTTAATAACAAAAAAATAAATGAATAATTTATTCAATGTTAGAAAATTTTGTCTTAAATTAAGCATTATTCATTGATTGGAATATTAATAAAATGCGCAAAAAACCTCCGACTAACCATTGTTATGCTATATTTATGAGTTGAAGAAGGTATTTATTGCAAGGAGGGTTAGTTTTGAAAAGTATGAGATTAAGATGAAGTGCTAAAAAAATGATGTTTTATTCATTCACCCAAACATTATGTCAATGAGCAGGGAGGTCGTTTGTTGGATTTCTTCATCTCCTTGGAGAGTTCAAATATTTCAACAAAAAAAAAAGAAAGGGAAAAAATTTTTCACTTTTTTTCCGAAACTTCAAATTATCGATTTTAAAAAAAGATATAAAACAACTTCAAACTCTTCTCTTCTTTTTTTACTTAATTTTTGTTTCGAGAATGTTTCATATTGTCAATCAATTAATTGATTTAAAAAAAATCAATCAAGAAAACATTTTTCAAACAGATAGAGGGAATAAACAAACAAAAGAAACGCGAAAAAGGAAGAAAGATTTCTTTACTGGAAAGAGTTTAATAGACAGATGAAAGGAGGTTTTGCATATGAAAATAAAAATAAAAAGGGAGGTGTGATTATCGGTGGAAATGCAAAAGTATTGACAAGAATGGCTAACTGCTAACGAAAGCCTTTGGGGGATGGCATTAAAAATGTGAAAGCTTCTGGAGAAGTGTAAGACTTTGATGGAAGCGATGGATGAAGTGCATAGA